CCTCGCCCGCGGCGTCTGCGGCGCCGGGCGCTCTGCCGACTCAGCCGCTCGTGCCCAGGCCCGCCCTTTCCGCCGCGCGTGGCTTAAGTAGGCCGCGCCCCGCCCCGCCCCCTCTCTGCCCCGCCTCCACCCGTGAGCGCGCCCCCTGGCCGCTCCGACACCGCCCCCTTCCGGTGCTCCTCCCCCGCCCGCGGGACGTTGGTTCCGGGCCCGGCTGGGACTTGCAGTCTGCAGGGAGAGGGCGCGTTCTCCTCGCCATTGCGCTGGTTGCGGAGACCAGGTGGGTCTGATGTGGCCCCTCACGGAGAGGCCATAAATCGCGCAAGACTTGCCCGACCCCGCTGATTGCCAGCAGCACCAATTGGCTGCGCAACCCTGAACAGGTGATTTCAATCACTCCAAAGGGGCTGCGGCGCCCTTCGTGCAATTAATGAACCGAACTCCGGACTCTTGGTAGTTCAAATGCGCACTCGTGAAATGCAGGGGCGCCTTTCATCGTAGGATGGGGAGAATCAGCGTTTCCTCAGTGGGGACTCAGGCTGCAAGATCAGAATGTCCCAAATCAGCATTGCCATAAAAACGGAGTGGGTGACTCCGCAACCCTCAATAATAGAATGTACTAGCACTTTGGGAGCCGGAGTGGAAGGATGGCTTGAGCCCAGAAGTTGGAGTAATGTCTCAGCAACGTAGCGAGACTTCGTCACTATATAAAATAAAATAAAAATTAGCCGGACGTGGTGGCTCGTGCCTGTGGTCTCAGCTGTAGTGGGCCGTGATGGGGCCGGTGCACTCCAACCTGAAGGACAGAATGAGACTCTGACTCAAAAACAAAGCAAAATAATAGGATTGTGTTATTTATTAAAGCTGTATTCCTTGTTGATGTAAAACTGGCACACTGAGAACGCTGTTTTTTAAAAAAACTTTGTAAGGTTACATAAAATTAAGAGAAAAGACTGGAAATCAGAGTTTCTGAAAGGAAGATATTTCTCGTACCAAATAAAACACACACACACAGCAATACTTCACCCCAATATGTATCCAGCTATTACATCAAATAGAATTCTTTAGGTCCTGTCTGTCCCTGACACTCTGGTTAAAAAAAAATTTTTTTTAATATTTAGGGCCGGGCCATAATCCCAGCACTTTGGGAGGCCGAGGCGAATGGATTGCCGGAGCCCGCGGGTTCGAGACCCGTCCGGGCAACTTGGCGAGACCTCGTCTCTACAATAAATCAAAAACTAGCCTAGCCGGGCGTAGTAGCAAGTTCGGGCTACTTGGAAGGCTGAGGCAGAAGGATCGCCAGAGCCCAGCAGGGGGAGGGTGCGGGGCCGGGAGCGTGCCACTGCACTCCAGTCTGGGCGACAGAGTGAGACTCCAACTCAAAATATATATATATATTTAGACTAGCAAGAGAAGAACACAAAAAACTCAGAAGAATAATCAAGGAAACAAAGGTCTAGTTTGAAAAGTTTTGGCCAACCCCACACAAAAATTATCTTAATTTTAGCATTACTTGATATAGCATTTATTTTGCTATTATCTGTGTTCGTCAGTCTCTAGTGACATAATTTACCTTAATGTTGCAATGTACCTTTTTTGTTTGTTTGTTTGTTTGCTTTGAGTTGGAGTCTCACTCCGTCGCCCAGGCTAGAGTGCAGTGGCACACTCACTTCCACCCCAGCGTCGACCTCCGGAGCTCCAACGATACTTCCACCTCAGCCTTCCAAGTAGCCGGAACTACAGGCGTGTGCTACCATGCCTGGCTAATTTTTGATTTATTGTAAGGACAAGGTCTCACCATGTTGCCTAGATTGGTCTTGGACCCGCCGGCTCAGGCAATCCACTCGCCGCGGCCTCCCAAAGTGCTGGGATTACAGGCTGAGCCACCAAGCCCGACCACAATGTAGCTTTTAATCTCTGAATCCTCTATGTGTTCTTGAGGGTCAGAGAAATATGCGATGGTTCATTTGTCTCATTGTTTTTAACCAGAAAAAGAACAGAAGATGCTGAACATGAGGAGAGGAAGGCTATGCCTTCACCATCCCCAAACGTGGACATAAAAAAAAAAAGTGAAGAATGCTGGGCTTGATGGCTCAGCCTGTAACCCCGTGCTTTGGGAGGCTGAGGTGAGTGGATTGCCTGAGCCCGCGGGTTTGAGACCCGCCTGGGCAACTTGGCGAGACCTCTTCTCTACAATAAATCAAAAATTAGCCGGGCGTGGTAGCGAGTGCCTGTAGTTCCAGCTACTTGGAAGGCTGAGGCAGAAGGATCGCTGGAGCCCAGCAGGTCGAGGCTGCGGTGGCCAGGAGCGGCCACTGCACTCCAGTCTGGGCGACAGAGTGAGACTCCAACTCAAAAAAAAAAAAAAAAAAAAAGTGAAGGACACACTTTTGGATCAGTGAATTGACACATAGTTACAACACAGGTTATGCCTGTTATAGCCTGAGCTAATAATGAACCTAAAAATTGTATTTTGCTCAGATTAATCATGAAATGTTTGCTTTCTTATTGGCGAGACAAAAACTATCCCTTGGGTCATATAGACCTGGTCATAGATTTTAAATACTAAAATATTTAAAATTTAAATACTACTAAATGAATATTCCACTAAATGAATAAATCTAAACAGATCTGTTTCTCAATAGTGATTGTGAAAATGAATCAAGAAAGAATGCAAAAGCAAACACAATTTAATTTCCAGTCCAGTAATGTACAGTCTGCATAAGCACAGCATAACATTTGTGGGAGAACATACCACAATAGATAATGTTGCTGCAATGTCTTCTGAAAAGATGAAAAGGTAATTCAGAAAAAGGCTTTTCTGCAAGAGGAGATCTTTAAAACCAATGAATCTGGCTTATTGTGAAAGCACATGCTCCCAAAACTTTTATTTGTCAGAGGTTTGGTTTATTTTCTCTTCTCCACTCCCTATTTTTTTTTTTTAACTGCTTGATTCATCTTGCCAACTGTGAGGCAATATTTGCAGAATTCCACCTCCAGGCTTAGCAAAAAAAAAAAAAATGACTATATTTGAAACATGATGAAATGTGTTGTTTTAAATCAGTGAGGGAAGAATATATTCATTCATTCAATAGATATTTTACTGCTATGTGTTGGGTGATAAAATGGTGAGTGAGACAGAATAGCCTCTGTCCTCACAGAGCTGAGTGGGAATTTAATAAAAGCTGCAGGTGCAGGCCAGGTGCAATGGCTCACTCCTGTAATCCCGCACTTTGGGAGGGGGAGGCAAGAGGATTGCCTTAGCTCAGGGGTTCAAGACCAGCCTGAGCAACATGGTGAGACCTTGTATCTACAATAAAAAATAAAACAAAAATCAGCTGGGCATGGTGGTGCATGCCTGTGGTTCCAGCTATTTGCAAGGCGAGACAGAAGGATCACCTGAACCCGGCAGGTCAAGGGTGTGATGGCCACGAGCGTGCCACTGCACTCCAGCCTAGGTGACAGAGTGAGACTCCTGCTCAAAAAAAAAACAAAATCTGCAGGTATAAATAGCAAAAACAACCAAATCAGTAAGACAGAACGACACAAATACTCAAGACTTATAATGGATGATTTGAGAGAGAGAGAAAGAGACACACCAAGAAGCAAAAATAACAAGAAGGCTAAGAAAGAGACTACCAGGGAACAGTTAACGTAAGTTTGTTTAAAATATTGTACTTTCACATATTTTGAGATTCATACAGTGTCTCTTGAAATACATGAGAAGAGAAACTTTTCATGACAGTAATGAACTGAGCAATATGGACCTCAGGTAGGAAAAAAAAGCTTCCAAAATAGTTTGGAGTATTTTTTAGAAGAATTTCTAGTTTCTATGATTAATTTTTTTTTTTGAGTTGGAGTCTCACTCTGTCACCCAGACTAGAGTGCAGTGGCCACTCCCAGCCACCGCAGCCTCGACCTGCTGGGCTCTGGCGATCTTTCTGCCTCAGCCTTCCAAGTAGCCAGAATTACAGGCACTACCACGCCCAGCTGATTGACGATTAATATTTTTGTGGGCTTATTTTTTCATGAAATTATAATTATAACACTCCTGGGATTTTGTTTATACTATTCTTTCTGTTATTGATTTTAATGCATTAATAGTGCTTCACCAATCAGTCTCTGAACTAAAAGTTCCTGCTGGACACGGTGGCTTGTGCCACTACTTGTCTCAGCTACTTGGGAGGCTGAGGTAGGAGGATGACTTGAGGCCAGGAAAACGTAGTAATACTCCATCTTCCTCCCCCTCCTTCCAGGGGAGGAAGGAGGAATGATGAGAATTTATAAATGTGTGTGTAATCATAATATCAAGCCCATTAATTCTGTCCAACTTCAAGATATTGGAAAGTGCCAATAGCACAGACTTTGGAGCCTGACACACCTGGATTTGATTCTTATTTCTGCCCCTTACTACCTCTTGGGTAAGGTACCTAAATTCTCTGGGCTTCAGTTCTTCCAGATATAAAACAGAAAAAATAATACCCACTTAACAGCATTGCTAAAGATTTCATTTCATCTCTGAAAAGACATAAGTCTGGAGAAGGGCCATGAAAACATGTATCCTCTGCTGAAGCATCTTTGTTTGCTTCTATTGCCACCGTAGGAAACCCAGTATTTCCCCTGGTAGCCTGAGGAGAACTAAAGAACTGTGGGATGTATAGCTATGGCTGTTTTGAAGATAAGGTGTGGCCAGGCTTGGTGGCTCAGCCTGTAATCCCAGCCCTT